AGCTGGGTGGTGAGGTGGAGGCATTGTTGGCCACGTTTGAGAAGTGGAAACCCGTGAGCAAGGGGTTGAAGGATGTCAAGTTTCGATTGGAAGGAGTAAGGAGTAAACTCTGAGAAAGGATTTGCGGGTAGTCGTCTCATTCATGTATCTGTGTCCTCTGCGTTACTCGTTTATCGGCGAGCTTGGGGTTTGGGACACTGGGTCTGGGTTGGGGCGTTAACGGATGCATCGGCTGATGGCGTTATTCAGATACCAGCCTTTTCATCGGGCCAGCATATATACATGTCCGAATCGAGCTAGAAGTAATCAACGCTATCATCGTATCGAGAGCGCGACTATGACGGTTTAGAAGAAAAACCCAATGTGCTCGCCCACTGTGCTCTATGCATCTCCTCAATCACACCTCGCAAGTCATAGTCATCCCATTCCTATCGATCTTCCCTCAACCCCTCCCATCCCCTTACTCCCCATCATAGAAAATCTCTTTATACCGATGAGTAGCGTCGACGACCGCATTCGCCGCGTTGAAATCTGTCAGGACAGAGGAAAACACGTGATTAGCAAGCACTACTACATTTCACATGAAAACTGCAGCAAAACACGCCGCACGAAAACGTCCAAAAGAGGCGGAAAAAGAAGAGGGAAGAGGACAGAAGGGAATCAAGGAATAGAAACGTACCAACACCAGTACCAAAATCTGTGGCAGCTTGCACCTTGACATGGAGATTACCATCTACTTTACCGATGATTTCTACGGCATGGCCGACGGCTAGGTGTGAGTCCTGGAGGAGTTTAGTATTCTTGCGTATTCAATCCACAGTCTGATTGAAATAGTATCCTTCAACGACAAGTATGTCAACGCAACACGACACAACCCCAGCCCAAACACAGACATGCGCACAACAAACTCCACACCAAAAAAAAAACGAAAAAGCGGCAGAAGGGAAAACTACACACGCGATTCAGCACAACGTCGATGTTGCCGCCTGCATCGATGACGGCCTGTTCGCCGCGCAATTGCACGACTTTGCCGAGGATGCGGACGATGCGGTGTTGGAATTGGGAGAGGTGGGGGGCGAGGATGCGCGGGGTTTGCGGGTGGTCCATTGTTTGTTGTGGGGGAATTTTTCTTGTTGCTGTTGTTGGATAGTTTGTCAATGAGATTGTGGGTTTGCTGGAATTGTGGTGTGTGGTCTCGGTCTTGGTGGTGTGGTGGGAGAGTGGGATGTGGAGTCCACTTGATTTCACGCGTCTGCGGCGCGTAGAGAGGTTCTTGGCGCGATGCGAAGGCACGTGATTGTTGAGTACCTATCTGGATTAGCCCTTTGTGAGACCTAGCTTTGACTCCAAGTCAGGATCTGTTCTAGGATATTGCGGGAGATGATCGCAAAAGGCAGCAAGGTCTGGTTGGGCACGAGATTATGGAAGACAAGTCTCTTAGTTTGAGTGCTAACTAGTAGATTAACCAAACCAATCACATCATTTCGCTATTTACATATTACATCCATCCCTGTTTCCTATGTACATTCGTCACAGTCTCATTCCTAGCATTTCCCATGCAACTCCCCATCTGGAGCGGAGCGTAGCCGTGTTCTCCACATGGCTCTTTACATGTTGGCACGGATGAAGGCGCCAACGGTGCCAACACGTGCGTACACACCAGGCTTGTTGGGAAGAGCACAACCCCCACCCCACGAGACAAGGCCGATGAGGGTCTTAGCAGTGTCGAAGATGGGGCCGCCGCTGTCACCCTGGCACGAGTCGCGGCCACCCTGGGTGAAGCCAGCACAGAACATGTTCTCGCTGACTGGGTTGCGGGGGTAGTTGCTGCGGCAAGTATCGCGGTCGACAATCGGCACGTCAACCTTCTGGAGGCGGACGGGTGCATTACCGTTGCCATCATCTCCCCATCCCGCGACTGTGAGAGTGGAACCAGGGGCAGGGTCATTGCCTGCGGGGGCTAGGGTGGCGTAGGTAATGGAAGAACTTGTTTGAACGGGAGTGGCAAGCTTGAAGATGGCAGCATCGTTGTCGGTAAGTCCGGTGTTGTATTCAGGGTGGGGGATTAATCTTGTGACTTGGGATACTACGCCCCCAGAGCGACGGTCCTATAACACGTTAGCTTCATTCTATCCTAGCTTGATATTGTGGTCAAGACTAGAATGGTGATGGCGTACAAGAGATCCAGCGCGGATGGAGTAATCAGCAGCAGTGGCCCCCTCCTCGATGCAGTGGGCAGCTGTGACAACCGTGTTGGCATTCAGGAGCGAGCCACCACACCAATGTTGACCATTGAGAGCAACAGACACAATGTATGGCACATCACCAGCTCTGGCTGCCACTCCGCCTACGATGTCCTCGGCCTGCTCTTCAGGGAAGTCGGGCTCGACGGGATCCTGAGGAGTGGGGATAGCTGCAGCGATGCAGATGGCGGGGACCGCAAGGGTGATGAGCACTTTCTTGAGCTGCATCTTGATGATCCGTTGGGAGTTGCTGAGCGAATGCTGGAGAGAGGAAAGAAGCGGCTGGTATGAGTGATGTGTTGGAGAGGGTATCTGCTTTTGTTCTTATACTTTGAACAGTAGCTCCCGGTATTGTAGACTTCGTATTTCACAATCTAATTATCTCGTGTATCCAACAAATCTAGAACAGTTATGGTAGGCCACAAGCTTCAAAAGATAGTCCCCGGTGTTTCTGCGCTTGGCATATCAGTCGGCTTGAGTCAGTGATGTAGCTGTGAACTCGGTGTGGAGTCCATTGACTGGTCTATTGATAGCCGCGTCCTGGTATCTTCGGGTACCTAGTTTGAGCTCACAAGCTTCCAGGATTTCGTTTATGCAGTCGGCAGTTGAGAGCCCCAAAGCTCATTCGTACGCGAATAGCATTTGCGAGAGATATTCTCCGACTGCAGGTCGGGCTGCCTCTCCTAGGCGTACCTGCATTCTACCAACATAAGCCATGCATCCAATGCAAAGCCCAGTGTTGTTTTATGGTGGCTGGTAAGTTCATGGCAAAAGCCAGCGTGCTGCCAATCGGATGCGGTAATCTGCCCCTGGCATGGTACGAAGTTGCCTGTTTGCAATCTGATATGGCTGATTGCGAAAGAAGAAAATATGCGCCCGGAGCCCTGCGCATGATTGTTAGGGGCCCGCGTGAATCAACTCGAATCCACATTCAAGGACAGTCTGTGGATGTATTGGCAAGTTTTGGGGAGAACTGAGGGCCTGTCGTCGGACAGCACCTGCTCAGATAGGCAAGAGCCAAGACTTGACGAAAGCTTGGCAAGGTATCAAATCTAAATGCCAGGAGCTTTGGCCACGAAGAGTTGCGATCGTCAAGATATCCCGACCAGTTATAGCCACAACCTCGTACTGAGCATCTGCAACTGCTAGTAGGGATCGTTTTTACCGTTGCTCATTAAGGTAGGTGTCAAGACTTTTCGATGGCGTCAGACTTGGGCAGAGGCGAGAGTCGCGAGACTACCGTACTAGTACGAGTACCTACTACTATAGTACTACTACGGTACTACCAATGACCATGTAAGGGAGCATCCATGTAACCGTAAGGGAGAATATGGAGACTCGAGAGTGCTCGGTAGTCGGAGCTCAACGGGCACAGGGATCCAACGTCGTATTTCACACAACTCACTGATCAACACAACAGCTATCGATACATTTCAGCTTCCAACCAGTCCACGAAACATCTCCGCATATGCCTGCCCCCTCTAATTACCGCCCTTTCTTTTGGATCGTCGCTACCGTGTTCTTCATCTCACTCTTCTACCAAATGTCCTCGGCCAACAGAATGGACAGTCTTGACTTTTCCTTCAAGATCGAGATCAATGGTCAAGCTATCGCTGAGATAGGTAACAGCGGGCAAAGCCTTAGCCAGGCTACAGTTGGCCCCGGTGCTCCTGCAATTTTTACGTTGAAGGAGGGCCGACTGAGATGCGGAGAATGGATTCTTTCACGCAAACGGGTCGAGGATCGGAGTTTTGCTCCAAAGCAGGTCGTGTGGTTCAAGGTTGGCACCGAGAGCGAGGAGCAGGCCCAGCCCGTTACTGCAAACCAGGAAGGCGAGGATTACCAGATTAAATTTGGAAGTACGTAAAGACTGCGAGACTGATTGTAAATTTTATTATTAACAAACCCAGACGCAGGCTTGAAAATATCAGATGGCAAGGTCTTTGCGGATCTTTTAGGAGGTAAGTTTCCCTTGGTTCCAATTATCTTACACGGCCTGACTCGTCAAGATGGATCAAAGAATACTGTAGTGAAAGTGTAACGCCAAGATGTCACAGCCCTATACGAGCCAGTCATCTTGGTTGAGTAGGTAAACGATTGGAAGTCATGCATTTTACTCATTCTCGCGATTGGCCCCCTGTACGGGCTACTGTAGTTTATCATTCTATCCAGCTATGAAATGGTTAAAGACATCCATCGCTTTATGAATAAGCGGGTCCTTAAGCTGAGTGACATTCGACGACAGTCTGGAACACAGTGAGAATGGCCTTTGACCGGGGAATTGCAGACATTGGGCGGCATTACGCAGTAGAGTGTGGACATCAATCAGGTAGTCTACTAATCTAACGTGGATATGCAGTCTTCTGAATCGTCCGGTCTATGATGCCCAAAGTGAGCTCAATTGTCGTCCGGGAAGATCAAATGACCTGTTGAAGGACCCAAGCATGCAGCGGTCCAGAGAAAAGCGGTACAAGTCTCAGACCACCCGCCGCGCTGTTCCAGCAAGCCGCGCGCCAATGGCAGGTAGACATCTGTTGCAAAACTGCAAAGCACATATGTATAGTAGGACTATGTAGGCAATAAACTATGGGTTTGAACGGCATCACAAACATGTGACTGTGTCTCGAGAAGAGGGCCTTTTTATCGGAAGGTTTATTTGCTTGCGCGTGCAGCGGATCGACCGTTTGGGGGCCGGGACGGGACGAAACGACGGGTAGATGATGTAGTCGGGCAATTAAGTTTACATGGGAACCACAGTGGCGAAACAAAACACGGGCAGCGTCGTAATGGTACTCCTGCTACTGGATATATATGTTGACTGCCATGGTGAAGCGGGCTGTGGGCATAGGTGCTCTCTGAGCCCGTTGATTTACCCATCATGGCACTCAGTCAGTCGGTCTGTAAAAAAAAGATGGACTTGCTCTACCTAGGTACCTAACAGAATATCGAAACGTCAAGGTACAAGCATGCACTTTGCACGTGACGGCAGCAGAGAAGTACCTTTGCATTCTTCCGCATTGGTAAGAATGATAAAGTATAATTACTTGGTGGTGAATGGTAGGTATACGAAGTTCCCTCCAACACGAGCCATACTCTGTGCACATGCCGTACCTGGAGCAATAAGGATAGAATACCGTACCAATTATACCCGAGAGTAGCGCCGCGGTCAAACCGAACATTTCCGATCGCTCGGGGCACTTGATTCAGCGTGAAGATGAAGATATTACAACATCGGATTTTGCAAGTGATTTGGAGGATTCGAGGAGTCCTAGATTGCGATGGGTGATGTTGTCATGCTAAACGATCCTTCAGTTGTATACGTCAAACTGCTGCCTAGATACAAGATTCTCCTTCCAGCTGTGGTCTAAGACTCCAAGTACCTCGGTATTAATAGTGATTGGAGACACAGGTATACTGTACAAAACTAGAATGGAGTGGAGTGGAATGGAGTGGAATGGCTAGCCAGTTCAGTATGGAACCGTCACCCACCAGACTAAGACTAACTTGGCAAGTGCACCGCACCTGGAACCTCATGCGCGGCATGGACCGCGGAACAGATGATCAATAAAGCGAACACGACCATAAGATCCTTATTATGACTACAAGACTCCTCGCCAGTATAGAGGCGAAGAGATCACTCCATCATCAGCCGACAAAAAGACCAAGTTGGCACAATATTGGTGCGTCGCGTCTACCAGCAGAAGCAACTCCATAATCCGAGCTTGACATCATGAGGTACCGTACCGTACTTGATGCTTGCAACAAATTGCACTTTATGACTGATGACTTCAAGATGAGCGCAAATGCAACCTCTATGCACTGTACCATACGTAACAATGCTAGCCCATCACACATGACCAACGACTGCAGTGTGAAAGATTCGTGTAGGTAGGAATGACTGTAACATGAAAACAACCTCTTTAGAACAGCGGTCTTGGAATGGCCTGTATACCTATCGTTCTGCACCAATGCCAAACCGCTGCTTCGCGCCTTTCATGATAGACATTACACTTTCATCCCGACTTGTACCTAGGCATAGCAGTAGACCGCGAAATTGCCGCCATTCCTCACCATCAAAGGGCTAATACCAGCGATGGTCAGAACATGCTGTTACATATTCAGCAAGTCTACCATAGTGTGCGGTAAAATGTTGAACAAACAAAGCAACGCCAGCAAGCCTCACCAAGTTGCCGACTACTACGAACGGTGCGATTAGATGCCGCAGATGGAGCGTCACACGATTTACACGTTCTATTGCAGACTGTAAACAGCATTGATAGGATTCATGACTCTTCCTAGGGTGTTGTGCTGTGGTCGCGATCATAACACATAATAACTCGGTGTATTCTAATCTCAAGACAAGAAGTTTTCTTCCGGGCATAGCTGAGTTCTTGATGGACGGACAAGCTGCAGAAAATCACCTGATGCCTTACAAAAGCGTACTGCATTCGAATTCCAGAACTGATATCATCAGTCACTATTTGACTTCTTTCATCAGGCTGTCACTCAATTGCGACCAGATCAGCGAACAAAGGTTACGTCAAATCGTTACAGATACTTTTGGGATATCAATTTTCTGTTTTTGGAAGACTTAAGAAGCCACAGCACCGTGAGAAGACGGTGTTCGGCCTTGACCCCAAGCTCAACTCTCAAAAGCAGTCTTTGTTTTTTTCTCAGATCTCTCAAAGATGGACAAGGTCAGCTCGACTCAACACCATCCAATTTGTACGCAGCTGGCTACTTGGAATCGGAATTTACCGCGCTGTTCGACGATGAATGGGAGGCTATCGATGTTGGCACCAACAAAGATCTAGCTTACTATGCTCGAGAATATCTTCGAATCGTGTCGTATAAGATATGTAGTGGAATTCTGCCCGACAAGTTAGTTGATGAGATGTTGGACCATGTGGTACACGCTCTAGGGAAGAGCAGAGAGCTCATTGAAGCTGAAGATATTCGGAGCGTAGAAACTCAGTCGGGAAAATCTAATTTAGACCTTGTCAGTCGCACTGCACACAAGTTCACTGATGATCCGCTGATGTAGTTGGCTTACTAGCCTGGCTACTCTTAGCTTTCAATGGCCTCCACTATGCTCATGATTCCGTTTGCCACAATGCTGGACCTCGAAAATGTTTTCATCGGAGGGCAAGCCCAAGGTAGACCGCCGACTCAAAATTCCCAATAGAAGCTGGCAAGAACGGCGGGATCTACGAACTCTCCAGGTGGCAGTGTTCACTTGTACTACCTCTTATTACCGTAGTGGAAGATGGTTTGAACAACGAAGAAGCAACCACCAAAATGTACATCCACTCGATGCACCCGGTGTCTTAACCAAAGAGCGATCAGATTGTCAGATATGAAACAGGCATGGAGCCATACATGTCTAATGTAATGGTGAAAGTAAACCATAAGCTTGGTGGAAGTAACCCTACGTCTCAGCATCAGAGTGAGTCAAACACGCGCATGACTAGCAGTCTTGCAAAGACCTTGGTTTTGAGGTGCAGGCCTGACACATTCATCCACGAATTCACTCATTGGTTGCCCATCAAGCAGATATGATTGTCTCTATCGATGTCCATGATAGCACATTCCAAGTCTCATTGAAGCTCTAGGAAACATATAAGAGAGAACTTGTATGTCCCAAACAAAACCCATAACAATGGCTAATGCTCTGTAGACAATCGTATCTACGCTACTGCTTCAATCCTGATTTTAGGGATGAACAATACTCTGCATACACCATGCAGAAGGAGAAAATCAGGCAGACTTTGGACTACGCGCTTGCTGTAGACATTGCCGGTCTGAGGTTTGTATCTGTCCAACGGCTCCTGGGACGCAGAGGGCCTAAGGAAACAAGCGGCTCAAGTGCAGGCCGGGCGAGTAGATGAGAAGCTGGTGCGCCAACAGGTTGAGTCTGCGGCTGTTCGCCAGGCAAGAGATTGGCTGTTTTCGCGATCGTTATGATGGGCCCGGTCCTTGGACTGCCGAGCTTGATGACTCCATGAATTGGATGTGAGGTGCAAGCCCGACGTGCTTGTTGGAGAAAGTGGTGGACGGTGTGGGTGGCTGGTAGAACAGTTTCATGTTTTTAGATACGATTCCACTCGGAGGTCGCCGATTACCGGTAACCTAGGTATTCCGGTTATTGATACTTTTTCTTCTTCTTTCCTTTTAATGCGATGAGTTGGGGCGCTGGACTCAGTTGTCACGCTTTGCAGAATCTTTTTCCCTTCCACATAGACCCTACAATCTCCACCCACAAATAAGCAGTACAATCAGCTTCTATAAAACCACCTGATTTACCTCAATACTCGGGTCAAAGCTACCATACTAATCGCCCAAGACTACTGACCACGCCTCTCCTCTCACCATCGTTTCGCGAGCTCCAGGAAAACTTGACAAGAGCAAAACATGTCCAGAATGCAATTTAAGCCCAATTCAAACCAGACAGTCTCCTCCCCACGCCCTTGCAGCCCTCTCTATAAAGGGGTCCATGTCATCGCGGCCCAGTCGCACGAACCAACCAACCAACCGAATGACGCCATTCTAAACTTTTTTCTTCTTCACGCCAAATGACTCTCTCTCGTCTCCCCTACCCGATCGTCCTAGTAAACAAAAAAACAAAGACATCAAGAAAACCATCAAATTCTTCCTTTCACACGCATTCTGCATCCCACGACATCCCACCACCACGCACAGCCAAACCGACTCTCTCTGTGTGAAAAATCCCACATTAGCCCCAAACAGACACGCTAGTGCACCCCGACACCCCCCATTTGGTTCCATCTCACTCGACCACTTCACAAAAGTGCGACGGCAACAATGGTACGAGAATGGATGAACTTGTCCACACGTCTGTATTTCTGTCTATGGGAAGCAGAAAAAAAAAGAGATAGGGGCTGATGAGTAGGATGTGACATCTTCTAGGTCCATGCTGATTCTTCGGCGTTTGCGGCGGGCTTGAGTAAAAAGGAGGTGTTTGCGCAGGTTCTGGAGCAGGCGCGGTTATTGTGTGATGGGCAGAGAAACTGGGTATGTAAGGTTCTTTTCTTGTGTGTTTGGTTGGTTTGGGGTTGTGTGACGATTGCTAATGTGTTGTAGGTCTGGTAAGTTTTATCCCATCCATACATACATCCTACCATACCATGCATACCATCCCCCGAAACCTAAGACTATTCTAGCAAAACCCGCACTTCCGCATTTCTAGCTATACTAACACCCCACCCCCTCCTTCCACAGCAATTTCTCCAACACCGCATCCCTCCTCTGGCACGCATACCACAGTCTCCCTACCCCCTCGCGTTCTGTGAACTGGGCCGGTTTCTACTTCACCAATCCAGCCTTACCCTCTGAACTCCTACTCGGCCCCTTTCAAGGCAACGTGGCGTGCCAGCGCATAGCCTTTGGGCGCGGCGTATGCGGGACCGCGGCGAAGGAGGCGAGAACGCTGGTGGTGCGGGATGTGGATAGGTTTCCGGGACATATTGCGTGTGACGGGGCGAGTCGGAGTGAGATTGTTGTGCCTGTTGTTCAGGATGGAAAGGTGAGTTTTTTTTTTCAAATGATTCATTGGTTGTTGTTGTTGTTGTTGTAAATATTTCCTCGTGGCAGAGGTTATGGGGAGAGGGCTAATTTGTGTATGTGCAGGTTATGGCTATTATTGATGTGGATTGTGCAGAGTTGAATGGGTTTAACGAGGTGGATCAGGCGGCGTTGGAGGAATTGGCGGAATTGTTGGCGCAGGCGTGTGATTTCTGAGAGTGGGTGGGGATGGAGTGGAGAGATGGAATTGGGTGACTGGATTGGTAGCTTGAATGATACCCTCGAAAGCGCAGTTCTGTCGTGTATGAGGTCAGATATTTTGCTTTACATGTGAACTAGTATTGCGCATATACAGGATAGGAGATTGACCAGAGACCTCCGCTTATTGGTCTCAGCCTTTCTTACGCAAAGAGTGTTCGCTTTTACTCATACTAGTCTTCCAGCCACCTGGTACTATTCTCGATGCCTGACTGATGGGTGACTGTCGTTACGGCAGCTTCAACAGCAAACCCAATGTAAGCACTCAGTTCAATTGCACGTGCAGACTAGACTGTACCGTATACAGTAGCCAAGGTTAAACAAAGGCGCCAATGTAAAACTAAGTTCTCGATTATCTACAATGTGCAAGTGCATGCATAATCCATCTACGGCTGCCCAGTGCGTTGACCTAAGGAGACACCTCCGGTCAGGCCAACCACGGCATCTATCGCCGGGAAGATAACAATTGACATGTGAAATTGAAATCAAATCTTCTTCAAGTCTGTACGCCGTGAAACTCCGAGCAATGAAACGGGCTTTGATGCAGTGTTGTGGGTCGAACCAAAAGGTCGAGCAATATGTACAAGCCAGAATGGAGTTGGAAGTAAAGGCAAGTGGCGATGCTCAACAGGATGACCAGAAGTGTAGTTCGTTGTTGGACCCCGGAAATTAGGCCGTGAAAAAAGTGCGGAGTGGTGTGACAAATTGTGGACTGTGCTGTCTACGGAGCCACTCTGATTTGAGATTGGAAGATACTGTCGGACTGGCATGCTCTTCCACTCTTGTAGAAATTTCTGAGAAAGGCAAGGCCATCAAGGCAGATGGCCTTTGACAGCGCACTCATGCTGCGTCGTCGAGGATGGCCAAATCACAATTCCATGCCGTCGAGATCCCGCATGACGCAAGCCATCTGGGCTCGTTTCGCTGCCTCAGCAAGCAGTGACGTCTGTGCGAGGAAATTTGTTGTCTCAGCGGCAGTCTGACCTGCGCCTGCCCGGTTAGGCTGGTATTCGAAGCTTGGGTGTCGCTGCGCCTGCATACGCTGCTGTTTTCAGTTAACATCCGCAGTTCACATTTCCA